AGTACACACCTGAAAGTACACATAAATAAAGTAATAAATTGTAAAGCTCCACCTTCTGAACAGTCAGGTTCAGGATTAATGTAGATTCGGTTCAGGTTCATCTAAGTAGTTGCACGAGTGACCTGGAAGAAAACCAGTTTAAGCTGGTTCACCAGTGTTTACGCTTGAAATGATCCAGTGATCAGAATACGATCAATCACAATAAAAATTCAATGAAAGCTCTAAAAGGACGTGACCTGTCTCTTTAAATCAAACTAAAACATTCTGCTGATGACACGCTGATTTTTAAATTGCCCTAACATAGTGTATCCGAGTATCAGATTAAAGTCATATAGTATAGTATGTATTTTTAATATAGGAGTAATACTTTGACTAAATAAAACCATTAAAACTAGTTGGCTATGGAACAAGCTGCTCCAGGTGCAGTCCTGGGTTTACTGACCTGTAGCTGTTGGCAATCACCGACCGTCACGTCTCAGCAGGTCCAGAGTCCGTCCTTCTGCCGGTCCATCAAAGTCCAACAAGAAAAACTTAAAAAACAGAAGGAACAGCCGACCCTCAGCCAATCAGCATCCTCCGTCTGTCCTCCAGGAGTCCAGTCTGAGTCCAGGTCCAGAAAGTGAAGCAGTTCTCCTGGTGGTGATCGTTGTTCTGATGTTCGGAGGAGAGAGATACACCTGAGCGGTCTCTCCTCACCCTCTCCTCCCCCCCGGGCTGTAATCGCTCCTCATTAGTTGTCTCTCTGTTTTCTTTGGGGGATTTTTCTGTTTTTCCTCTGGTGTCACTTTGCTGCTTGACAACCAGCCGCTGATCCACAAACACAAGCTCTTCTGCTGCTGAGAATCTGGAGTCTTTTGGTCCTGAGTCTGATCTGGACAGGAGGTCAGAGCTCATCACAGGTTCATCATGTCAGAACTGATTATGTTTCCACAAAACAAAAAGTTTACTGGAGAAAAATGAAATGTAAATAATGTGTATTAACATATCAGCTTTTCTAGATCTTTACTGTATTACACACACACAGAGGGCATTTGAGTTTCGGTATCTTTGCCTTCAGGACACTTCAAAATTCAAACTTGAAGAGCAGGGGATCAAACTGCTGACCGTCCGGTTACCTCCACTATGCCACAGACGTCCCAATGAAATTCTGAATTCTAAATTCATGCTCACAACAGGAAACTGTCTTTACTCTCAGATAAATCCTGTTGGATTTAATAGGACATAAAAATAAAATTTAAATAAAAATGTTTTTATATAGATTTCTGTTCAGGAGCCTGAACCCTTAACCGAGCTCAGGTTTAAGTCTGGTTCAACTATTGGTTTAACTTTACTCTACTTTTATATTCTGAATCTTGTTCTTTCAGTCATTACCAGAGTCCGACCCACAGCTGTTCTTCCTCTTCACCACCAGGGTGCAGTAGAGTCTCTGTCCTACAAAGAGACACTTAGAGACTCTTTAATTTTCTTTATTAGTTTCAGTCAGAAGAATCTGTTCCTTTAAATCAAGTAGAAACACGAAAAACTCAAAGATCAGAAAAATATGAAAACGTTGTGGTAACGATGATGATTGGATTTTCATTCCCAAGAGACGACGACTGAAACTGGATCTGAAGACTTCTCTGATTGGACGAACTCTTCTCTCTCTCACTGAATAGAAGCATTTTCTGCTTCTCCATTCTCCAAACATTTCAACCTGAAAACAACAAAGACCAGGTTGTTTATACCAGATTCAAACCAAATTCAAACCAGATTCTAACAGTCTAAACACGTCCAAACCAGATCCTGAAGGTTTCAAAGAGGTTTCAAACCAGATTCTCCTGGTTTAAAACAGAACCTGACAGTGTGAACAGGTTAAATTGAAATATGAGCTCATTGTGTCAGAATCTGGATCCAGGCTGTTTAAAGTGGTTTAAATCAGATCATGAATGTCTGAACGTGTTTAAACTGGGTCCCGTCACCAGGTTCCTAACTGCATTGTGACAGAGTAAGCTGATCCAGAACAGTGAAGGGGCCAAAGGTCAGACTGACCGCTGCTGGTGTTCGTCACAGAAGGAGCCGAGTCGCTGCATCTCATCCTGGAAAAAACTCTGGAAGACAAAGAGGAACAGAAGTGGTCCTGGATCAGGTCGAAGATCTGGACTAGGTACAAAGCAGGACTACAGAGTCCGTCAGGAACTGTCAGTAACTGACGTCATTTACAGTCTGTGCTGTAGTGATCGTGGTACAGAGGCCCTGCCCAAACACACTCTCAACCAATGCTGAGTCCATGACAGCTGTCAATCATGACGTCTGGTTTCTCTGATAATAACTGATCAAACACAAACAGACACTTGAACAAACCTCAAAGAATAAGACGACCGGAGACAGAAACATTTAACTAACGTCTACTTTGAGTTTGGGCCACGTCCCATCTGCTAACATGGAGGAGGACAGGTTACGACCTTTACTGCAGCCAGACACCAGGGGGCGATCATTATGATTGGCTGTGTGTCGGTCAGTACCAGTATCTGTGTGTTCATGTTGTTCACGGTTGTTGAGTTTTCTTCCAGTTGTTTTAGTTGATCAGTGACATCGTTCTCAAACTTCTGCAGCAACAACAACCTAACACACACACACACACACACACACACACACACACACACACACACACACACACACACACACACACACACACACACACACACACACGTTATTTTTATAGTTGGTTATTGGACAATGGTTTTTTACAGTGCACAGGTGTGTTGGACTGGCGTGTCTGTGTGGGCGGGGCCCATGTTACTGTGGGTGGTACCTGTGTTGATGGACAGCTGTGAGCAGTGATGACACCTGTTGTTGACTTTCTCTCAGCGACAGTAGAACCTGGTTTTGAATCGTCCTCCAGCCGCCCTGAGAACAGCTGACGTCAGAACATGATGCTGATGATCAATAACCAGAAAGTGACCATGTGACTACTGACGGTGAAGTTGTGCTCCAGTCGTTCTTTGAAGCTTCTGAAAGCAGCCGTGATGTCAGACGTCAGTTCTGACTCCGGCCCAGACCCCGGTGTATTCACAGGCCCCTCCCTGTTGTCATTAGATTCCACCCATTCTTCAAATACCCCCTCCTCTTCTGTGGGAGGCCCCGCCTCCTCAGGTGACCACGCTGAGACCAGGTGAGGTGGATTTACGTGAATGTCACTAAAATAATTTACTAAAGAATGAAAGATTCATTACCTGTCACTGCTGAATTAGGCTCCCCCCCTCCTGTCTGAGACTCCACCCTCCTCTTATGGGCTGTCGGGCCCTCAGTTTGGTCTGACAGGTAACCTGAGGTAAGACCAACATCATCAAACAATTTGACCACTGAGGAAGTTCCGCCTCCAGTGTCAACAAGAACAACCCCACCACAGAAATCAGGAAGTGAATGATGATGCATTACAGAATCAAAGACCTGAGTCCGCAGCGACTCTCTTCCTCTCTCGGCCGAAGACTTCCTGAAACAACAAGACAACATGGTGAGAAACAGGAAATGCAATTTTGCCAGAAAGGAAAGATGCAGATATTTACCTGTTGTAACGGAGAACTACTTCCTGCAAACTCCTGTTCCTGTGAGACCTGTGGTTCCTCATTGACAAGAACACCTAAGAGATGCATGTTCAACAACAAGTTCACGTCAGAATCCAACCAAATGCTAAAAATTCAGTATCTGAGACGTCAGCAGGTTTGTGGCAACACTCCAACCAACCAGACTGGGTGAGTGACCAGGTGTGTTACCAGATCCAAGACCAGGATTGAGACCCAGCGTGAGAACCGGCATGAGACTCAAAGTGAAACCAGGTGAGTGTGTGACCTCTGACCTGAGTCGTACGTCGGAGTCGAGGATCTGATCTGGTCAAACAGAAACTCAGCTCGACTTTTTCCTGGAGCCTGAAAAAAACCCAAAGAGTTTATGAGCTTTGACTTTTGACCTGTTCATGTGTCAGCTGATGTTTACAGTGTGATCACCTTCATCACTGAGGAGTCATCGTCACTGCTGGGAGACGAGAGAGGCAGAACTACACACACACACACACACACACACACACACACACACACA